AAGCAAATAACCACTAGAATTGCTCGTTATTTGCAAGCAATATTCGTTATTTTATGCAGTGTATAGGGATCTGCTGATATCCTAATGTTAAGTCAATGATGCACAGCCCCATATGTAAGTCAATACGACCTTACTTAACTAAATGGCCCCTATCTCAGCCTATATGTGCCCGAGCACTTTAATATTTTCCAAAGAGTTATATAACATTCTATTCTTCATGTTACACCTAAGAATTATTTATTTTGACCATGGGGTCATTATTTGCCAATAAACGCACCTGTTCTTTTTATTGGATTGTTTTTGCTGATTGGGATTTTTATGGAATAAACAGTTTAATGCTATGGGTTTTACCCTTTGACAATAGGTGTATTGCCTTGTTTAATTATGATTTTGTCACTCGATCACTCTATTCCCTCAGTCAATACCTCGGGCTTTGTATGAAAAACCTTGTACCTCGTACCCACGTACCCGTGTACTTTGGGCATGATATATTATTTGAAGAGTTTAATTCTAACGTTTCAGATTATTCAGATTATATGAATTGTAGTTGCATTAATGCACTTGTAGAGTTACTTGTATGTCCTATAGATCTAACATTTTTCTAGTCATAAATAAGGCCAGAATTGCAAAATTGTTTACCTTTGCCATTTTATCCTCGATAAAAAATGCCTAATTGAAATGCTCGTTCACTATAGAACCAATCTACACTAAAACGTTTTTTATTTGCAGGGTAATTCTCAGGAAGTCGTCTGAAAGGTGTCACCTATATTGCAACATTTAGATTGCTCCCCTATTCAATATGGAATCATCATCCACTGTTAAGCACAACTGCACAAATTACACTCTCATGTGTTGGGGTGAATTTACGATTCCTGAGACTACAATAATCTTTTTTCATGCTGTGATTAAATAAAATGATACACAGAATACCCTGACATATTTAAAACCTGTTTAAAACTTATTTAGAATGGATTTTCTCTATTGAAAAGTTCTTTGAATGGCGCTATTTTGACAATCAATGAAAAACTAAAATTAACAATTCTGGCTTTATTTTATGACTCTATATCCATCTATCTTTGACGAGACGAATTTCACATCTATGGATACTATGAATGTATTTATACCTCAGATAGCATTAGATTGAATAATCTTTTAGAACTTTAAAAATTGAACCCTTCAAAAGCTGTATCACCACCCATGTACATGGGTATGAGATACAAATGTCACCACCTTGTAGTTTAAGACAAATCTTGAAAAGAAAAAGGTTATTTGAAGCAAGTTGAAAAATGCCTTTTTGAACTTTTTAAACTTGAGAGGTCAAATGTCAAATCAAAAGTCAGATTTGACTTCTGAGAACTTGTTGGTGATTTCGAAAATTCGGAATTTGAAAAATACCTTTTAGACCCTCTTTACTTTGAGGTCATTGACGGTCAATAATTGTAAAATCTAAAGTCAGATTTGAATTTTTGAGACCCTGAAGATCATTTTGAAAAAATGATCAATTGGAAGACCTTTTTCACCTTCAAGAATGTACAGTAGTAAGAAAGAGGAGTGCATTCTTGTTGTATTGTTTTTGAAGAATGGACACTGTAAGCTATCTAAAGCCAGTGTGGCACAAAATATGATTGACAGTGTTTGGCTCAATATTACACCTTGACTGTCACATGCAGTGCACCGAAGCTGCACTAATTAAACCATTTTCAATCACTCAATAGTTGAATTGTAAACACAAAATAAATACACTTTTTAACCGTACCTTGCCTGATACATGCGGTGCATTGAAGCTGAACCAATTAAACCAAACCACTTCTCTACACATTTACCTCACAGTTAATACAAAATAATTTTTCTTAACTTGGAACATGGGTCATTTACCCTTCCTAAGAGTCAGTGTGGGTTTTAAGTTAGATAAATTATTCGAAATGGGTCTTATGAGAACTAATAGCCTCAGGCCAAGCCCCTCTGCTAGTATTTCTCATAAAACCCAGTACTCATAGTTTATCCATAACTAATGAACGATTAGAGGATTCAGTGACCTTCTATAAAATTACAAACTGAGCATGTTGCTATACCTTAGACGACTACCTGGTTGTTATTCACTAATGGGGGTCTCATTATAGGTTGGCATATAAAAATGCTTTTGGGTTCAATGACTGCTACATGCACTTGGTTCGGGGTTGTTGCTTTTAGTGGCTGTAATTAGAATTAGAGGTTTTGGTTTTAATAAGGGATCCCAAACTTATCTGTAGGCCATAGGCCTATGTAAAAGTAGTAGTAAGCTTATGAACACCGAGAGCACTCATAAGCTGCCTTCCTACTACTTTTCCCTGGGCCTATGCTGTAGGTCAATCAACAGAATTATGATCAAGCTTAGGGGTGCTGTGATTCAAGAAATTAATAAATGCAGCATCTAATACAACACCATTATAATTAAGGGCATTCTTGAGTGGATTTGACCTAGGATGAAGAAACTACATAGGTGACCACAGGGTTTGAAACCCCATTACAAGTAGTATTCGCGAATTCAACTAACAGCTGCCAGATCAACCTACTATTTTATGGCTCCTTAGATAAAAATAGCACCTGCCACTATTCATTCGTATTAAAATGAATTTGCCATCAACAGTAGGTTAAATCATCGCCTTTTACCCCACATATGACACCACGAATACTATCAAAGTGCAGTCTAATACCGAGTGAGCCAAAAATGTAGCCCAAACAAATTCTGCATCTGTTAAAGTGTTATTTCGCATAATAAAACCTTGTTTAATGTTCTTTCACTTTACTAAGTTTAATTATTACCACCTTGCCGGGCCAGTTCTAGAGGTTTTAGTGCTAGTTTAGAAGGCGTTCATTTTACTATGTCGACCTGAGAAATGTGTGACATCATAGTGGTGGTCCATATGGACCGGTCTAGTATATATTCTGGACCAGCAATTTTTCCCCGGGATATTAGATATCCTTCAGTGCATACAATTTTCAGCCCTGGTCGTTAACAGTGGTAATAATACTAATAACGTCATTTCTGCGAGCAACATATGGAAATATTGGACCTTCGGCCCTCACAGTCCAATATTTCTTAGAAATGACGTTATTGTGCTATCGACCCTGCCCAAATAGTCTTGGATTGTATGGCTATAAAACGAAACATGGTCCAAAATGCCAGCCTCATTTCATGACTACGGGCTATCTCTGAGATAATGTCAACCCCTACAACAAGTAGGAGAACAATTTCTGTGACGGTGACCTTACATTCTCAACTGACCAGTGCAGGTCTGCCTGAAGGGACGAGGCTGAAATTTGTAGAATGGCCATAGAATTGTGACCTTGAGGAATGGACCCATAAAATATGGTTAAATACAAAATGATTTTACATGGTAAAATTAACTAAATATGATTTCAACTCATACTGGATGAATGAGCTAATAACATTTCTTTGGATGACATTTTTTGCCTCACCCTGTAATTCATTTTATTTTCACACTTATTCATTTCAGCCTGCCCAAACAAAGAGTCTAGGTTGAATAGCCAAAACCAGGCACATGTAATTACAAAGAACTATTCAGTTTATAAATAGCTCTACGTGAATGGCACAACTGTTTTATACACAAACAATTGTCAAGGTAAAATACAGGATTAAGGCAATCCGTAAGGCTGAGTAAGTCACTATCTGAGTGTTTGACACTTATTTATGACACTTAACTGCCCTCTATTTTGTAATTGTATAATATAAGTATGAAGCACCTTATAATATCAGAAAAAATCCGAAAAAATCACGAAAAAAAAATACCAAAAAGTAGGTTCATAATTAATTTTTCCCCTTTACAGTTTAAATCATGTCTGAAAGTTCAATACAACTTTGCACTAAAAATTATTAAAAAGGCCTGCACTTTTGGTGAAAATTGCGTTAGAATTAGGGGAAATTGGTGAGGATGGGTGGATTAGGGACAGCTTAAGAGATAATCCAATCAACTTGATTATCATCCTGATGTCATTTATTGAAGATAAGACATGGATCTAACAGAACCATTTGATTTTGCGGTTAAATTATTCTTCGAACTAAAGATATAGCCCTTTGAAAATGGCTTGCCATATCTTACATTCTCCTTTTGGTGTCGAAAGGTTTCGGTGCCAGAACGGTGTCGAAATGGTGCCGGAACAGCGGTGAATGTTTCCGATGCCGAAACGGCGCCGAATTATATTGGCTGTGTAGTCAGTGAGACTGAAATCATTAACAAATATATAATAATAAATATAAATAAACATGGGCATAAACATGACAAAATGTCAACACTTAGTGGCTAACAATATAATCAGTTCAATCAAGTCAGATTTGAATTTCTGGAAACTTGTAGATGATCTGAAAAAATGGTCAATTTGAAAACTTGTAGATGATTTTGAAAAAAAACTAAAGTCAGTCTTAACAGTATTTGTTAAGTTATTGGCGGTTTTAAGAATTTGTTACACTATTATTGTGTCTTATGTGTCCATATTTTTACCCAACATCCTATGTTCAAGTCTATGTGCAATATTCTGTTAAAGTTCTAAATGTCAATATCTTTCTTTTTCATATCTTCAAATTTAGTTTTAAATTAAATTAAATTTAATTAAAATAAACTTACGAAATGACTTCTAATTCTCCAGATACACTGTCTCCATATTCAAGTGACATAAGATGGCGCAATGTCTTACAGTCGTCTGGATTTCCTTGTATTTTGTGCTGAACAATTAAAGCCCACTTAATATCAATAAGTTGTTGAATGTCATACTTCAGCTTTATTGCATTAGATGGTGACTTAAGACTCTCCATATCGGTGTCTTGAGGATATGTAGTGGCTATTGCTGCCGAACATATTTCATCAAAATGTTAAGGTACAAGTAGATGTTCCAGACCACTTTCTGGTTTATTTAGTTTCTCTCTCAGTGCTTGTAGGAATTTTGCTGTCAGTCTAATTTTTTGGGACGTTATTTTTCCTCTTTTACTCTCGTTACCAACATTTTCCTGAGGGTTGCCTCACCAAACACCTTAATTAATATGTCATTTTGGGCAATTTCTGACACCTCATCCCGTTTCATAAACATATAAACATGCTTTACTAGTCCATTAGATGGTTCATACGGAATTCTTTTGGTAAGCAAGTCAGATTTCATTTTCTGAGCGTTCATTGATACTTTCTCATGTTTCGCTCCACTTTTGCATCTTGGAATATGCTTTCCTAATGCTGAGACCGTCATCCATTCCATACATTCAGGACACGGTCCAAAGTCTTTAACATTAAAAGTCTCTGTTTTGGGTCTCCTTCTAAGGAGAAGAAGACCTTCTTGTTTTGCTAAGATCCTTAGGTTGTGAAGATGATCCCCTTTTGCCCGTACATCACAGCTTAACTGTGTTAAACCTCTAAAAGCAAAGACATAATTTTCTCAAACCCAAGGAAATGTGAATATAACGTTCCTGACCTCAAAATTGGTAATGATGTTCTACCTCGAGTTGATCATCATAAACATTTAGGCCTCATACTAGACAAACACCTAACTTTTGACCAACACATCACAGAGCTCACCAAGAGGATTGATAAACTATTAAACCCACTTAAATCTCTAAGCAACAAATTAAATGGAAAACACATGGAATTAATTTTCAAATCTTTCATAATTCCAATTTTCGACTATTGCGATATTCTTTATGGTTGTGCAAATATAAGTAAATTAAAATCCATTGATCAATTATACTACAAAGCAGCCTGCATTTGCTCAGGTGTACTACATGGAACATCTTCACCAAAAGTCCTTAACTGCTTAAATTGGCCAAAGCTATCTGATAGAAGACAAATGCATAGACTTTTCCTAATGTACCGAGCTTACAACAATAAACTTCCATCCTACGTTTTGAGCATTTTAATCAATATCGTAGAAATCTTCCATCAATAACACAAAGAAGTCGTGACTACCAAATTCCCCTTAGGAAAAATGTTATGGGTATTACCCATAGTGTTATCCATAATAATGGTAATTCATTAGGTCATTTATGGTTTATATGTACATAACCCATAGTGTTACCCATAATGTTACCCATAACCAATAGTTATGGTTAAAACTTACATGTTATAACAATGATATACTCATAATTTTACATAAGTAGATGTTATGGGCTCAGCATGTGTAGGTTATTGGCAGATTATGTGTCCCCATAACATACACATAAATTCCAAATAACCTACTCATAACTTGCACATTACCAATACATAATGGCATAACGTAAAAGCATTATTTACCCATTATTACCCATTATAAGTCATTACCAAAAAACTTAGGTTGGATACAGCATCAATTACCCTTAAGTTATGGGTACTTGGTGGCTATGGGTAACAATATGGGTGGTTATGTGAAACCTATTGGTTACCCATAACATTTTTCCTAAGGGTCCAATCAAAACCTCGACATTTTCAAATAGATCATGTGTATTAAAATCCATCATTGACTGGGAGTCTCTCCCACCCGAAATAAAAGAATCACCAAATCTAAATATATTTAAATCGAATGTAAAGAAAAAATTAATGATTACTTATAACATTAATTCCTCTGAGATCTCCTTGACAAGGAGCCAAGAAATTTCTCTGAACAAGGTGCACTGTGATCTGATCTTCCAGTCCCATTTTTACGCCCACAATTTTACTAATGTACCATCCCCTACATGCAAATGTTGGTATAGCAATGAAACATCCATTCATGTCATGTTCTCTTGTAACCTTAGATCACAATATCTTAAAGATTTAGAGGATGCACTTACTCTTCTAAATTTTAATTACCCAGCATTTAAAAACCAGCAAGACAAATTATCATTATTTTTGTATGGAGACAGAAGTCTGCCAAAAGAAGTTAATATTGAAATTTTAAGGCTCACCTCAGCTTTTATTTAAAGGTGTGCAAGCGTGTAAGTATTTCTTCCACCACCAACTGTATAATTTTGTACACAATACTTCTTTTGTTTATTGCAAATCCATTGTCATACTTTCTTTTTTTAAATCTTGTTATTATTTAATTGTGGCTTATACTGCTTCATTGCAAAGCCGCAACATGTGTATGTAATAATTCTATTTTACTATGAAATAAATCACATATAAAAAAAAAAAGTCCTGTAGTTAATTAATCTTGGTTTTAAAACCAAAGCTTTGATTGTGGGCTGTTCTGCCCCACCCATGGGCCATTGTCCCCCAATCTCAACTTTATTTTCCACCACTCTGAAAAATCACAGAAAATGTGAAATACAATTCCTTGATAAAATGGAACATCAAAGTGAGCGATGATTGACAGATTAGAAAAACCTCTGCATAGATCAAATTATTATGAGGGCCGTTTTGCCCCATGCTCCTCCAAGAATTCCTGAATTAAGCAACCAGGGCGATATCTCACGTTAACACAAAGCACCCGAGAGGTTGGAGCGCTAAAATGTCGGACCCAATTGTTTCTGGACCCATCTCAAAGGGAGGGGACGGGCCAGTGCATCTACACAGAACACAGCCACTACTGATTACTACAATGTAGGTGAACTGCATAAAATAAAAACTCGAGGGAGTCACCAGGTAATTTAACTTGGAAACATGGAGAAAATGCCAAATTAAAAATTTTAGGAATCACATTCTCTAATTCATGCAAAGCTAGCAAAATTGATATGAACTGGAACCATAAAATAAATAGAATGAAAGAATTAATAAAGTTGTGGTCAAAAAGAAATATAAGCCTCATTGGAAAAGTCATTTTAATCAAATCTTTAATAGAATCCCAAATAACAAATATGCTGATGGTATTTAAAGCACCTCAAAAAATATTAGATACTATAGTATTAATCACATGTTATACCAATTTTTGTGGAGAAATAGTAAGGGGACAGGAGGGGAACGTATAAAAAGAAAAATTCTTTGGCAAAAATGTGTAAATGGGGGTATAAATATGATTGATATGAATGTAATCCAAAGCACAATGATCATGACCTGGGTAAAGAGATTTTCTCTTACACAACAACCAACTTGGCACAATTTGTTTAAGCATTTTTTGAAAGTATCTGGACATGGGTCACTTATATTTGAATACCAAACAAATTATCAGAATCTCAAAAGTAAATTAGAAATAGAGAAACTTCCAGAGTTCTATAGCTATTTAATTAAAGAATGGTTCAACAATAGAAACATCAAGGTAAAAAATAGAGTTTCAAAGCAAGATGTTTTTTGGAATAATATGAACATACAATTCAAAAGATCAATTGTGTATTTCAAAAAATGGATTGAGCAAGGTATTGTAAGAGTAGGAGATTTATTTAATCAGGATGGTAATATGAAAAAGTATGATGAAATTGTACAGATTTTTGGACAAACTCCTGCAATCTTACTACAGTACAATGTATTCAAGAATGCACTTTTGAATACCAATGTTGATATTCAAGACAAAGAAATATCATTCAAATATAATAAAATGTTTGTCAAAGATACCACAGCAAAACATTTTAGAAACATGATTTTGGAAAAAGAATTAGTTATTCCCAAAGTGGAAGAAAAATGGAACCAAATTTAATATTTAATATGGAACCAAAGTAAATATTGTATAACTATTTATTTTATTTTTTTTATTTATTTATTTGGAATTACACTTTTACAACAGTGGCACACTAAAATTAGGTGCATCCAGGTATAATATCCATTAAAATGGTTACATCTTTACTTTAAAAAAAAAGAACTATAAAAGACACATATGAACACTTCTTTGTCGATTGTAAAATGGTTAAAGGATTATGCAAAGTTGTAAAAGACAAGTTCAATGTAAATCATAACAAAATATTATGTTTGTCAACAAGGGAATCTTGTTTGGAACGGAAAATGATGTTATAAACAATTTGGTTTTGATAGCCAAAAATTGTATTAACAAATATAAATACGGCAACTATGCAAACCTAGAAATGTTATATGGAAATGAACTATATGTAAGAAAATTCTATGTAAAATGAACTGTATGCTAAATATTGTATGTTTAATAAATAATTAAATTAAAAAAAAAACTGCATAAAAGTAAACCTTGTAGTTTAAACTAGTGTAAAAAAAGAATTACTATATTATAGTCCACCCGTGTAGCTCAGCGGTAAGATATGTTGATTGGTCCATTGCCCCTTCAAATTATCATTATATATACTTTTCTTGAAGATAATGAATGGATCCAAAAGATACACCAATGTTCATGATCAGAAAATATTCATAATTCAAGTTAGAATCGTTTGAAATTGTTTGCGATAACCTACATGCTCCTTTACACCAAACAGGAAATGAAAAAACCATGTGGATTTTAGAATTGTTTGAACCAAGATAAAAGAGTTCTGCTTTAACATTCAATCAGTTTTACTACTCCCATATATTATTTACATGACCAGGATCATAATGGTCATTGTCAAAATGACCCTTACTATGCTGAAATAGCTTTTCCAGCCCTCTGAAATTGTGACTGAAAAAAAAAAAGTTAGAAGTTAGCACTTCCGAAAGGTCACTGAACTGAATATATTGAATTTTTCGGAAAATGTGCCCATTATATTATTCTGTTCACTGACCTAGAAACACAACAGTCACATTTTCAGAGGGCTGAAAAAGGCTATTTCTGCATGGTAAGGGTCATTTTGACCATGACCATTGTGATCCTGGCCATATAAACGATATATGGGAGGAGTACAACTGACTGAAGATCAAAGCAGAACTCTGTTATCTTACATCAAAAAATTCTAAAATCCACATTTTTTTCATTTCCTGTTTGGTGTCATATTTTTTATATTATTAGAAGGAATGGATCAGAACAAATAATGAACTGTTTCTGATGTACAAATTGATTACAATTTTCTATGTATGTAGATTTTGTCTTTTGGGCATCTAGTAAATTAAATGCTTGACATATGCATGCTTTTGAATATCCTTAATAACCAGAACCAGAAGGGGCCACACAGTGACAGCTTAAGTACATTCTTCTGAAGAAAGCTACATATACATCTGTTGAGAATATTGATAATTGAATACCTAAAGAGTTTGATGAATGGTGTAATGCCCAACAGCATGTAACAGTTTTCAAGTTTTGGTTTCTAGTCATTCAAATTGAACTCCTCTGCCTTAACTATTTTTTTTATACATATTGTATTTCTTTATTTCAAATTATTGCAATAAACACAAAAACATTAGCGGCTTTGTAAGGTACATCATATTAACTATGTGAGGGCTATCAGAAAACTTCCCCTTTACCTCCAATCAATAAGCAAGCTTCTCCCCTGTTTTTTCATTTTTGACCACTCCAACTATGCTCGATGGGTTCCAGTACATCTAAGGGATATGGTACAACTACAAGAAAAACACCTAGAGATTTATGAAGCCTTCCTGAAGGGCCACTTCACTG